CATTAACAATGTCCTTTACTGGAGGTGTGAACTTCACTCATCAGCTCATGTCTTGGGGACATCATTAGCAAGATTTCCTGCCATAGTCCCTCTCTTCCTCCCCACCTTGGATTCTACTTTCCCTGGGAGTCAGTGACGCCATCACGCATATTGGTCGATACAAGGATAATATTGCTGGAGCATTTTTAATATTGGCGGCACTGCATCTGCTTTTATGTAAGTGCACATCACCTTGTAAAACAACCTTTTTTAATTTGAAGTAGAAATCAAAGCAAAACATTTGCGTATACATATAAAAAACATTATAAATACAATTTCCCCCTTTTTTATAAGTGATCACATGCCCTCTGGTCTCAGCTAAATAAGACCTAAGGGAGGAGAAACAACAGCACACTGATCTTCCCAGTGCAGGGGGGGTCAGCAAAAGTTCAATCATTGAAGGAGAGCAGACTGAGTTCCCCGCACAGCTATAGAACTGACCACACTGTGCTGTCCTACCTTGTGTGGTCAGTTTTTAATAGGAAAGCAGAGAGACTGCCAGGAACACCAGCGATTTCACACACAGGAAGCAACATAAAGAGAACAGAATACTTTTTCATACGAGTTCATGGTACAGCAGACACATATCACAAATATGAAATGTTGAGCTTGCATATTTTGTAATTGAACAATCTGAAGTTAAAAGTCAGTTGGCAACCATACACAGCTGCACTGGATTTTGAGTGCTCCAGTTTAGTAAATCTCCCGCTATGTGTATTATCCTTTTTTATTTACAACTTTCTTGATACATGGAGTCTCATGTGGCTAGAGAACTAAGTGGGAGCCTTCTTACTGATGGTTATGCTGACTGACATATCTTCTTTGAGCGCCTAATGCACACACAGTAAACACAGGGTCAAACAGTCCCGGTATGCAGTGCGACTTCAATATCTCATAGAAGACTCTTTCAATTTTCAAGGATTATCTTTGTTGTTTATTTTTTACATTTTATTTTAGAGTCCTATTTATCTGTTGTTTACACTCTTGCTGTATATAGGTTAATTAACCTCTTCCCGACCGCCTTATAGCAGATAAACTGAATGGTGAGCTTTTTGATTTATTAGTTGAGGGCAAAGAACTTGTCACCAGTATTATCTGTAGGGCTTCTATGTAGCTCATCTTGTCCCCATTTCGGACTTACCATGTTGTTCCACACTGTGTCTCTGTATGGAGGTGGCCATCTTTGTGAGCAGCAGGGTTTAGCTTCCTCGTGTCAAAGTTGCCCACAATGACTGGTGATCTGATGATATGTGGCAGGAATGATCAAGAAATATCAGGAGAGATGGGAAAGCACAGATCTACACAATTAATAAAACCAAAGCAGGTATACCCTGTACCACAGGTTTTTAGCTGCAGCTTCCTATTCAGAAATCCTTAGGAGAATGGCAGAAGTGCCTTAGACAATCTCACGCTGTTGATATACAGCTATTACTGTACAATACAGGAGTGCTTAGGCACAGTAATGTGTCACATTTTGGAAGGAGTCAAACCTACCTTGATTCAGGTTGTGGGAGGTTCGCCGAACTGCGCCAAACTTGAATTATTAATCTGAATGCCACTGAAGTTAGTGAAAGTCAATTCTGTCAATTTTAAAGGCTAGGAATTGCCAAAAAAGGGCATGGGGAGCTCAATATTGACCTGGGGGACATGTACCAATGCAACAAAAATTAAGAAAAAAATATTGTTCATCAGGGAGCAGCTCTTTTAATAATGCCTAAAATGAAACATTAAAATGCAGAATTCCTTTAAATAATATACCTGGCAGATGCCCTGAACATGAAACAAATTACATTTCCGTCTTCCTTCTGTTTATAAACAAAGAGGATTCCCTTCAATCATATCAGACCCTTGTCCCAGATGATGGTCTGGTATACGTTATAAGTAGAACCTCACAAAAAAAGGATGCTATGCAGGCTGGCCACTAGGGACCTAGCTACACATCATCAGATATCATCAGATGCTAAGATGTTGAAGGCCACATGGTCACTGGCTCTGTGGGAGGGATTCCCCCATCAACACTGACTGTATTGATGGGGAAACCGAGTGGTTTTCTTTCCTACAACCCCTGGTTGCAGGAAAGAAAATCGCTGCATCTAGGGCCAGCTTAAGTGTTAATATTGTAGCTTACAAAAGAAATGATACAAAAGAAAAGGAAAGTCTAACAAATCTGCTTTATGATCCTGATTTGTATAATGCTCCTGCAACCCTTTACAGAAAAAACATAGCCAATCTCCTCATTCCCTGCCCCCAAAGGAACTTAAAGACACACATCTAATCAGTTAGGCCATTTAATGCTCAACAGAACGTTTGTTTAAATTAGCTAAATACATTCCAGATGCATCAAAAAAGGTGTGTGTGGAGCCTTAAAGTTTGTTTTCTTTAGAAAGCAGCCACCATCTGAATAGAAAATACCTGCATTCTGCCAAGAATAACCCCTGCTCTTTATGTGGAAGCAGGGGTCTTTCTGCAGAGGGCCAACACACTCCCTGCTGGATCACGTGGGATAGGGTAAGAGAGCAAGAGAAAATGAACTGTAGTCCAGAAATAATGGATAACAGGGCAGTACAAGAAGACATGTAACGTACTGCCAGGGTTTGAGCTGTATCTCCAACAAGTGTTTGGGACAAACAGGAACATAACTTGTAAATCTGTAGAGTGTTGTACCATCGGATTAAGATTTTAAAGTTTAATTCTTAGTATATCATTCATATAGAGGTTTTGTGAGCATAATATAACACATTGTCACTTTGTTCAGAAGTTAGTTTGACATTAAGGTCTGTTTCCCATTTTGTTAAGCAGTTGAGGATGAAATCATCCAGTGGAGTGTTGCCCATGTTGTACATGATTGAAACTGCATGTCTAAGTGGTTTATGGTTGATACATTCCTTTTCAAATGGTGTAAGTGGTCTAGAGAATGAGGACACTGTTGGAAGGGATCAAAGCATATGGGACAATTGTGATGACTTCCAGGTCCCTAAATAGGACAAACGGGGATCCATTCTCATTTATTCTAAGGAGGGCCAATGTTCGTTGTAGAAGTTCATGTACGGTGGGATTCTGAATAGGGGGTTCTCAACTCCTGGTGGGAAGGCAGGGTTTCCAATAATAGGGAAAAGAGGGAAAGGGGAGATGTTTCCTGTCCTGAAGACTTTCCTACAGAAAGCCCATGCGATGCCAATCATAGGGTTGGTTTTAATAGAAATAGGTACTTTATTGTGACACCAAGGTAGTGTTGTCAATGGGATTTTAGTGAAGTTTTGTTCTAATTCTACCCATTGTTTCATTACGCCATAGCAGCACCAGTCAGACACTCTTCTGAAGTGGCAGGCTGCATAATACAGTGAGACATCTGGAAGTGCAGTTCCTCCCTTATCCTTATGGTGTCTGAGAATAGACCTCTTTAATCTGAAGTTTACATGTCCATAAAAAATGATCAAAGGTGTGATGAATCGCCTTAAAGAATAAAGAAGGGATGTGTATCAGTATTGTTTGCAGTAGATATATTATTTGGGGCAGGATATTAATTTTTATGACATTTTTTATGAAATTGTGCGTTGCCACACGTTAAGGTCCCTCCTGATCTGGGTTGTAATGTGGTGGAAGTTGTATGGAATTTTGATCGCCTGTGATATTTGGATTGTCTCTTACCCTACATAAAAATGGTTCTAGGGTGAGAATAAAAATAAGGGAAGGGGTTGGGGTGGGAGGACGGCCTTGCTTCTTGCCATTTGTTATATCAAATGGTAGGGAAAGCGTACCATTTATCTTGACTTGAGCTTTCCGGTTCAAATAAATTGCTATGACCCACACCATCATTCTGTCTCCAAGGCCTATGCTTTTAAGAGTTAAGTCCATGAATGTCCAATTCATCTGATTGAATGCTTTCTCTGCGTCAGTGAAGAGTAGTAGCATTTGGAGTTGCCTTGACTGGGCCATATGTACAACATGCAAAGTCCTAAATACATTATCCCTGGCTGGATAGGACGAATCCCACTTGATCCCACTTGATCCCCGTGTACAAGCATTGGAATAACTGGCGTGAGCCTGACTGCCAGTGTTCTGGTGAAGAGTTTCAGGTCTGCATTTAGCAATAATAGTGGGCGATAGTTGAAACAAAAAAGGGGGTCTTTACTCCCCTTAAGAATTATGGTGATATGAGCTGTTAAGGATTCTGAAAGAATCTGAGAGGCATTCCCTATCACATTAAAGTCTCTCAAAAAATATGGAGCAAGTATGGGAGCAAAGGATTTGTAGTAGGAAAGGGTAAGGCCATCTGGTCCAGGTGATTTCTGAGTCTGTTTTAAGGCTGAAATAAACTCCTCTGAGGAGATAGGGGCTTCCATGACTGACGAGGCTTTGTCAGGAAGACAGGATGGGGTTTATTTACTAAAGCTGGAGAGTCCAAAATCAGACTCCCTTCTGCATAGAAACCAATCAGCTTCTAACCTCAGCTTGTTCAATGAAGCTTTGGCAATGAAACCTGGAAGCTGATTGGTTTCTATGCAGAAGGGAGTCTGATTTTGGACTCTCTAGCTTTAGTAAATAAACCCCGATAAGTCTGTCTCTGGTAAGTATTGAACAATTTTATCTATATGGGCTATTTGTTGGGTCCTGGAGTTGGGTTGTATAAGGAAGAATAATACTCCTTAAAAGCCTCCACTATCGCAGGGGATTCATTAGCTTTACAGCCAGAATAGGTAAGTATGTCAGTGTGTGTGCAGTTTTTTTTTAAAGAAGATGAACCGTGAGACAAGATTTTGAAGACCTTTTTTTATACACTTGAAAGCTGATTTAAACTGTACATATAGTTGGTCTTTGGTATAACTGGTTGTTTTTGGTGTGCAAGGGAAAGCCATGGCAAAGCTCCTTGCACATAGTATTAACAGTGAGAATTGAGCTTTGCGTTCTAGTGCTCAGTTGTGGTCACCAACACTTTCAACCATTTGTATATTTTATCTATGATGAGAACATTAAAGTGGTTGTAAAGGCTCAAGGTTTTTTACCTTCATGCATTCTATGCATGAAACTAAAAACCCTTCTGCATGCAGCAGGGCCCCAGCCCCCTCAATACTTACCTAAGCCTCATCACGATCCAGTGAAGTGAACAACAGCTGAGACAGCAAGCAGGAGCCATTGGCTCCCACTGCTGTCAATCACAGTCAGTCAGCCAATAAGGAGAGAGGGCGGTGTGATAATTGTACGTATAGATATGGACAATGACAACCATATTTTGTATCAGACTCTGCAAATGTCATTCCCTCTCCCTCCAGTCCCCCTCCCCTTGCAGGAATGTGGTCTGTGTGTGTGCTGAGTTCACGAGTGCATAGGGCACAGCAAATGGGCTTCATGGTTGTAACCCCAATTAACCAGTTCCAAGATGTCTGATACACCCTTTCATCTGGCTGAGTCATAAAACTATAACTCAGTCCTTCACTTGACATGAAACCTTATCTCAGTGGGATGTAAATTGTACATCCCACTTGAATCACTTTTTCATACAAATTCGTAAATCCCGACAGGAACAAGGCCCATTAAAACAAAGCATATATTCAGATAGGTCATTTTAATATGAGACATCTGACACCTTACACCCGTATGTGGCACCTACACAAGAGTAGAAAGCAATATGTTTTTATCTGGAATGGTAAGATATGTCATATTTGGTGTCTGGACGTTCAGAATATGATTCTGCATATTATTCTACCAGTGGATAGGATGCTACATGTACCTATGGAAGGTTATTGACCATGGTATAAACTTGGGAGGGATTTAGGTCACAGCCTGGGTCTCTGCCTAAAACCCCTCCCCAAATGAGGCGATTGGCCCTTGGCTTCAGTAGACACCCTCTGCTGGGACACTAGAAAAGGCTGTCATGCTTGGAGAGAAAATGAAGAGATTCTCCCTTTTAATATCAGGAACCAATTTTGGGAGAAAAGGTACCCTTTTGTTCAGGATACTTGAGCTCTGCTTAAACCAAGGACTTCTGCAAGTATCCTACCTTCTGAAACTTCTTTCTTTATCTCTCTGTTGTGTTATTACTCTCTCTATTTATATATATTTGGCTACATCTTTTCTGTAAAAATTTTATTGCACCATTTTGACCTTTTTAGTAATAAATCTTATTTTCTGAAAAGTGTTGAACTGTTTCTAAAGCTCTTTAATGCAAACTAAGAATCCCTGTCTTTGAAGAGTGCTACCGTGTGTTTTTTAACCTCTGCGGTGACAGTGTGTATACAGACACTTATTCAAACATTATAGTGTTACTGCTAAGATTTGTGAGTTTCCTCCTTCTCTGTAAAAAGGAGGTGCTGGCGGTGTGAAGGGTTAATTGCGCAATTAACCTGACCCAAACAATCGCCCTCAGACTGCTGACACATAGATTGTGGTCCAGTAAGCTGGAAACTCTTCATGCAGGGTGCAGCTGAGAGTGGCATTGTTATGCAAGTGGCAGTGCAGTTTTAGATTGACTGGTCCTTTGGTCACAAGTTGGTGAGAAAGGCTGGGGTCTGACGCCGCGCCCGTCACAGGTGGGACCAAGCCATGGCTCCATGTGTGAAAGGACACATAGAGCAGCGAGTGCCCCCATAGCAAGCTGCTTGCTGTGGGGGCATCCGACAGGAGGGAGGGGCCAGGAGAGCCTGCAGGGGATCTGAGAAGAGGAGGGTCCAGGCTACTCTGTGCAAAACCACTGCACACAGCAGGTAAGTATAGCATGTTTGTTATTTAAAAAAAACAAAAATCGCTTTAAAAAAACTAGAATCGCTTTAATTTTACTTGCCACACACATCTTCTATGAAGTGCATATTGGTTTATTCTGTTTAAGCATCTGCTTCTGTTACAGTAGTCTGTAGCATTCACTGATGAAGACCCAGATCAGATTGACTTAGGTGTCAAGGGGGGTGAAAAATGCACTGGTTTAATTATGCTGAGTGTCCTCAGAGAAGAGATCAACAGGAAGGGTAATGAACTCTCTTTACATGTGATCACTTTTCAGATCGACTGCCAGCCTGTATTCATGACTCCAGGTTTCTACGTCTGGTGCCTGGGTGTGATGCAAAGGGTTAGGAAGGACAGAAGCAGGCACAACAAGGCTGGGAGAAGAGTGGGTACAGAAAGAAAGATCATCTGTTAAATACATAGCAGCATTTCCTCTTCCTCCCCATCCCCCAGGAACATTCTATCTGTCCTTTGATGGAGGTCCAAGAAAATAGCTCTTCAACATCCTAAACTTGTTAGCACCAGTTAATCACCTTAACCTTCCCCCTCCCAATACACACTCCAGAAAGTTTCTCATCTCCACAGGTCATTAGAGACACTGAGACTCTTTACATTAAAAGCTCCTGCTAAATTAAAAGTCAAGCTCTCTAGTAGGCTAATTATTATACAACCATATTAACTAAATACAAATATCCTATCTGTGGTCCTATATAGAACAAAAGTCTAATTCATTTTTAATGTAGCTCCATTTTTTTAGCTTTCATTATTCATTAAAGCTGCTTTTTGTCATTGAAATCAGACCTTAATGTTTAGAGACTAGTTTATAATGGAATTTAAAGTACACAGGGAGTGACAGAAATATGGAGGCTTCTAGTGCTTTCCTTTTGATCTCAGAAGACAATCAGAAGGTAGAAGACACTCAGAAACCAAACACATAACAAAGGTGCTGTCAGGCTTGTATAAAGGAAAGCTAAAGGTTGACCCTTTTTCCTAGTGACAGTTTGTTAGTCCTGAGCTCAGGCAGGAGACAGTTCAGGCTCCTTGAGGGCCTTAAAATGACTATTTACCTTTCCTGTTGCTCACAATGGCAATCTTTGCTGTACTAAAGAGCTATTACTCCTTATGGAATCTTCAAAATATCCCAGGAGTGGCATAAGGCTGGCAGATTGAACCGGTGAGTGCTGCGTTGCCAACCATCATTCCTAGTAGATAAAGATTCTTCAGGCCTCGGTATCACATCAACACCACAGAGATCAGTGGTGTGGGTGACAGGAGAGGTAAGTATTAGCTGTCTTCTTTGCAATTGGCAATTTAAAAAAAATGTGTTTTCTAGACAGAATTGCTTTAAAGCCTGACAGTGGGCTGATATTTCTTGTTGGACAAGGAGAGAATACAACTAAATAACAACACATGGATCATGCTGTGGAATTAAGCTGTATTAGTATGACATCGTAGGTGTGAAGATTCAGACTTTTACAAATGCCTATTCCCTGGTTCTCTTTGAGTTGGTTCTCTGCAGAATTTCTGCTACATTTTTTCAGCAAAATTGGGATTATGAATGGGAAAGCTGTCGGCACTGCCTTTTTTTAGTTGACCACAGCTCAACTGCCTGTTTTTACCACCCCTCAGCCTCCTGTGTAAACAAGGCCTTAGTTATTTCAAAGCCATTCTCATTACACTGTCTTCATAGATTTTACATGTCACATTACTATGTTGGTACTAAAATAATATTCTGTTGTGCGCTGCATGATGTTTGCATGCTAGGTTCATACTCTATATAAGCAAGATTTCACCCTAACAGCAGGTTGTTATTGATAAAGACATAGCTTCTTGTGTGATGATATTTCTTTGGTACATTAAATGTCTTCTTTTTCCTCATACTCTTTGAGAATTGTCACCACTGACACCTGTCTGAGAAACAGATTATCAGTCAATGAAAGGATGGCTTATTATAGACTTTATCTTCTTTTCAGCACTATCAGGGTAAAACCACATGAAACTCATATGTTTGCCATTGGTACCAGCCTTCTTTGTTTAAATCTCATCTCTGTGCAAATACTATTAGTTTAAGAAATGTAAAAAGGATATACACCCTAACTAAATTACATGTAGTATGCTAAAGCACTGTGTAAGAGCAAATTAACGTGCATAAACATTAGGCATTTTTTTACTTGTTACTTAAAGTGGAGTTCCAGTCGTTTCTGTGTTTATTAAAAGTCAGCAGCTACAAAAACTGTAGCTGCTGACTTTCTCCTGTCCCGGAGTCCAGCGATGTTTTCACCCGCGCAGTCCCTTTTCTCCTTCTGTCCTCCATGGCACCGGCATCTCTACTGTGGGCACCAGGCTGTGATATCTTGCGGCTTCACAGTCTGGTGCCTACTGCGCATGTGCGAGTCGCACCGCGCGTCCTGATTGGTCCGACAGTCTCCTGGGACCTGTGAAAGGACCCAGGAGAATGCAGGAGCAAGGAAGGGGCCGAACTTCCGGGTCACTTTGCTGCGGCGAACTTAGCCGGAAGTGGGAGCGGGACCTGTCAAAACCAGGTACCTGATCCCCCCAAAAAGGTGCCAAATATGGCAGTGGAGGGGGAGTAGGCAAATAAGTGGAGCTTCTGCTTTTGAGTGGAACTCTACTTTAGCATCTTTTTTTCATCCTTTGTTGGATCTCGGTCTTGCTTATGTTCTGCAGACTCTTTGCAGATATTTTTTCTCTACATGCATGTACTGCCAGTGATGGCATTTTCAGGGTGAGTTCCTTGATGGTGACAACAATGGATAATGTCTGCATAATCGGGGGAACTCAATAAAGCCTCTGTGCCATTTTTCTTGTGTTAATCCCTCTTGTTAATGTATTGTGCCAAATTCGAGAAACATTTTTGGTTCTGACAGTGACTTGTGCACCAAATTCAGGTAGTTCTACAATGTGCCACTTTTAAATTGTGGCACAATTAATGTGCCAAATTCAAAATTAAATACTGACAATTCATATCTTACTAAATTGGAGCTAATTAAGACCAACTCTCTTTTGGTGTACAGAGAGAAACTGGCAAAGACAGATTTGCTAAAGTGTCTCTCATGCATTCTAAAAGAGGTGCAGCATGCATCGAATTCAAGTGCAAGTTCTAGACAGGTACATGAATTTGGCAAATTCTGCACCACTTCTAGAATGCATAAGAGACACTTTTGCACAATATGTCTGCTCCAAAATACATGAATTTCAGGGAATGTGTGTTGAAACGGCTAGTTGTAGTCTCCATCAGAAGCTTGCATGACAGGATGACAATACAGGAACACAATTGGGATACAATTAATAAAAGCTATGGCTTTAATCATACAAAAATAACTTAAAAATCGTAATAATATTTTAAAGCTAATGCGAGATTTTACTCAATTATTTGTCACTTATCATAAAGTATTCTCCTGAAGTTTTTTCAATACATCATGTCGAGAGATCGCTCATTTGGCAAGCTTTGACCAGTCATACAAACAGAAGTGGTTGTAGGTAAATGAAACATGCTTCCTTGTGATGGCTTAATGTTTTAGCCCTATTCACCCCTGAACGTTTTGTGATTCGAAGCTAAAAAACTCACTACATTAAAAATCCCATTGTATTAAATGGTGCCTGTTCAAACCTGAGAGTTCAGGCATCTTTGTCTAGATGCCTAGCTCTCAAAAAAGTACAGGAGCTTTTATCAGGTACATTTAGGTATTTTTGGTCCAAAGACTGGAATGAAAATGTCTGAAAAAATGCACCAAAAGGCATGCAACTCACATTTTTCAGCTGCTCCCATAGTAAAGTATTTGAGGCCAAAGACTTGGGATCCTGCTCCAAAGAAGCTCCTGAATGACACATGGCTCCTTAAACATGCAAAAACGTAGTAAAAATGCCAGTATAATTACCTGAAAACTCTACGTTCAAGTGTGAACGTAGCGTTAGGCTCTTTTATTTGTGTTACTGGTCATTTCTGCTTTTAACAGTAACAGATATCTTTTAAATGGTAACTTTCTCAAAAGGTGATCATCTGCAGAAAATTATTTTCCAAGAAAATTTGTTTGCCTTCCCCTGGATCAAATGTGGGTCTAAGATTCTGCATATGAAGGTTTTCTAAATTTGTATTCATTGTTATTTATTTCTTTCCTCTTGGTTGAACTGGATGGACTTTTGTCTTTTTTCAACCTGAATAAAGATGGCCATACATGGATCAAAATTCAGGCGGTTCAGGAGGAAGCGGACAAACTTCAACCAAGCATGGCCATCCTCGTTCATGAGAAATTGACCTATTGATGAACGGGGTTGTTGATACATTTCCTCTTAATCAGCGCATGCAGCCAATAAGCTGCAGCTCTGATACGTGTATTCTGATGGTGCTGGAGTCCCACTGTCAGAATAAAATGACACGGTGGGGAGGATTTTCCCCTCAACCTCGAATGTGTGCATAGGGAAAGTGGCTCAGTTTTTTTGTTCAGCCAGCTGGTCAACTAAGTAATGCATGGCCACTATGTAACACATTGGAAAAACGTTTCAGCCAGCATCTTTTATTCTTATCAGGCTTTAGCACTTGTTTTGCATCTAGAGCATTGCAGTTGTTGTTAAATTTGTTGAACTTTAATGAAAACTTCTCAAATTATACCTGTCTGTGGGGTAGCCTTAAATTATGTGTCTCCAGCAAAGTGTTTGTTGAGTTTGTGGTTAGAATTTGCTCAGTGGGTATTAGAGTCATTCTTTCAAGCACTTCCCAATTTAGGCTTTATAGCGGCGTAGAAAGGCCACATTAGCTGGTGGCAGGCCCCAACAGAGCTGTGAGACCATTGGTATGCATTCAGTTCAGCTACAAATAGTTTTCTTGGTGACTGTATTGATCAAGTATTGTGTAGCTTGAAACTGCTTACAGCTGTGCGTTCAGGCCTTTGGTACGATTAGTGTTGAGTTTTTCTTTTGTGTCTCTGATGTTGTTTTCCACTTGCTGCTGAGGATTTTAATGGAAACCAAGAAGC